CATCAAGTCTCACTCCAATGCACAAACTTGTTCCTTCAAACCATTTTTTAAAGAAGACACAATGTTACATTATGTTTTAAATGATCATATTAAATTTCCTTGCATCATTGCCATGAGATAGTCCTAGTATCCATATACTCCAGTTGAGAAGACAGAGACAAAGGGAGGCGTGACACAAGGAGAGATAAAGCTAGAATCCTGGTTTTGATTCCCTCCCAAGTGCTTAATCCACTCCCCCACTTTCCAATTTACAATAAAATGAAATTGGCACATTAACCTGAAAGGAAAAAAAAAAAGAAAGAAAAATGACCAAATTCATTCAGCGAATTCAGGCATATCCAATGAAGTAACAGTTTATGCTTATCTGAAAGGAATTTGGTTGTGAAATAGCACAGTTGACTTATACCTAGCGGGGGGGGAAAAAGGCAATTAAGGAATAATCGGGCAGTGCTTGAGAGTGGAATTAAAATAGAGAATTGGCTTGTGCTCATTGTAAAGTGACTTTAAAAAGAGATTCTGATGAGCAAACATATTAAAAATAGAGTTCTCACTCTTCCTGTTCCATTGAAGAGCCTCCCACTTCCTACAGAAATTCTATAAATTGTGCGACTCTTTAAGTACGTGGAGGAATATCACACATTTGCAATTATTGGGTCAGAATATGTGAGTCATGCAGAAATAGAGCTTTGCAGGAAATTTTTATTTCATTGGAGAAATTCTTAGTCATTTATTAGTTATTAGGAAGACTCTGAAACTGTCAGACCTGTCTGACAAAATGAATGGTATTCCAAGTGCCCTCCAAACAAAGCCTCTCATAACAGACAGGCCAGAAATAGTTGGGATAACATGGAGAAAAAGCAAAAAGGCAAGATGAATGAAACTAAAAAGTGAGGGACCATCTGAGGTGTGATATATGAAAAATGGCAGTTGTACTTAAGGCAGGAAGAGAAGGTAAAAATGGTAAGGCAGGAAGGAAACGCATAGAGACAGGATATAAAATGCATACACAAATTGTTATGATCCAGATTTACTTCAGGCACTTCCTTGCTTGCCCTGGGTAGTAGGTTATTTTAGTAGGCACAGAGGTGCCTGAATACTATATTTATAAAAATACGTTTGAACCTTCATGTACTTAGAGTGCCATACGCTGCCTATGAGCTGGTGTTGTTTTAAAACATAGAAATAGAGAAAGTATAATTTATTGACAGAACCTCATCGAATTTCCAGCGTCATAGGCTAGCTAAAGCAATACTTTAAGAGAATGAACCCCTCCCTTAATAAAATTTGATACAACTTTCACAAACCATTTAATACATCCCCCCGATTTTCATTCAGAATGTCATGATGATTCTTTTATACTTACCCATCTTTCATGTTGGTGATTAAAAATAAGCCAATTTCAAGTATTAGAGCCCCTGGTACAAAATTATGCTACTTTTAAACATATATTTACCCATTCTTCTATTTCCTTTAATAAGCTTATTTTGAGTTCATATAAAATTTGTGAGACAACCAATAAACTCTCCAAAGTTCATAGTATATTATTAATAAAGCACACATTATCGATTGAAATTGATAAGACAGAGAATTTATGCAACTAATTCCATCAAAACACTTACTTATTTCATTCAAATTAGAGGTAAATGGATTATCTGTCTAAATTACACTTCATTTTATATAACAGACTAGAGGGCTCTCAAAGTGCAATAGATAATAAATTCTACCCAGCTGAAAACAACCCACAGACACATTTCAAGGTAGAGGTGGTTCTTGAGTTATTTGTTTAAATGTACTAGATTCATAACTGTAGGATGTGATGAGATAGGGAAAGGAAAGAAGGGGAGAAACACATTGAATTCTATTCTAATCAGTTTCAGTGAGTGTTCTTTTTAAACGGTATGGTCAAGGTGTTGTATTGCAGTTATCCTGTAGGGTTATTATATTGTTAATGCTTGTCTGCATTTGCTTAATTTACTAATGTGACCACTAAAATATTTAGAGTATTTGCAGAGTGGAAAGTCAATATTACTGTATTTTTAAGCAGATGCATTTGCATACTCATCCATTAAACATTAAATATATTAAAACCCACAAATTTTTTAAAAGAAATTTTAATGTGCAATTTTGAAGAGCTAAAAGGTCTTAATAATTTTAGAATTTACCTACAAGGGACTGCCTAAATATTAAAATGATCACCTTTATAAAAAGACTTAATCCGAACTGTGAGAGTTTAATTTTCTCCTTAGTACTCTCAGTAAAACAATAAATGACAACACTTTTTGAAACGTGTAAGCCTGGAAATGTGTTCCCTTATGGAATTTGTAAAACAAGTCACCATTCTGGCTCTTTAATAGGACTATAAAAGCAACTGACCTCACAGCACAGAGTGCAATGGCCGATGATAACAATGTGGAACATTTATATCTACCAAAAATTGAGAAATGTGATAAATTCAGTCATATTTCTCCATATGCCCTAAGCACTTAATGATTATAGATTTGGAATACTGAAAATGTTCCTCATTTTAGCTAAAAAAAAAAGTTATTTCTACTCTATTACATTTGTATTTAGTTGACATATAAACTGAGCAAAGATGTCTCTGTTCGATAGAAACAGTTAGGTTTGGGAATAAACTTAAATATACTTTTTGATTTCTCACTATTAGTTTGAAGAACTATTCAGTAAAAAAAAAAAAAATAAAGATCTTCGCCTTTTGTAAGAACATGTTTTATGTATGATTGAAGTTTTTACAACACTCCAAGAAAGCCATCCGATGTTAGATTTAAAAATAAAATCAAAAGCATTTTCTGACATAGTACACATGAAAAATTGGAAATTCCAATATCTTCAATAGAAGTTGTAGAAAGTGTATGTCTCCTTGGAGTTTGACACCCACTTAACACAGCAGAAAATAAGGTACTATACTGTAAACAAAAAGGTACAGTAAGGGACAGTTGTAAATTTACATAAGAATAGTTCATAAACATTTTGGTCTTTACATAACAGTTTTTATATAAAATGAATAAAAAAACCTGTAGACAGCTGTCATCACTCTTGTTTGACCACTTTTCACTTATATGCACACAGACATATTTATATAGCAATATATTGATGCACCGTTACATGGATATTAAACTATGATTACTGCTTTGTAGCTGAGATGTGCATTATCCAATCAACATTATCCATAGTTGAAATACTTTTACATTATGTATTCTTGTCATGTTGTATCTATAAAAACATGAAAATATAACTTTACATTATTTCAATTATTTACATTAGTTCAAGCTTGACAGAGAAAAATTGATAAGCTACAATTTTTAGAAGAGTAGGCCCAGAGGTACAATAAATAGCATTGATTGTATAGAGTCATCTTTTTCATTTTTAAAAACTCATTTTAAGTACAATATGGAAACAATTAGTCTGCAATTTGGTCATTCTAGCATTTATTATTAAAACTTAAAATGCACCTCCAACATTCCTGATGAGGAGAAATGCACTAAAATTATATTGTATTATCTTGGAATTTGTGATCAGGGACAGTTAAATTTGGTGAAGGATATCATGATACCACACGCCACCATGTTCCATGGAAGGGGCTGTTGTTTAATCCTACGTTCTCTTTCCCTTTTGTGAAACATAATCAATAAAATTGTTTTCATGGCACTTAGTAAAATACCAAGTGCTACACAAAGGCTTACTTGCAGAAATAAAGAGAATAAAAAATATTAAAAATGACTTCTGGATGTTAACAATTGTTTAAAAGCCCTAAATTAATTTTATTTTAGGGGGCTTTAAGAGAAAGAAATGACCTTTTACGAAGGGAAAGAGAGTTCCTTTAAATTTTTTAACTAGAGAAATATAGGC